GAAGTATTCAGTGCCGCTCTGCTGCATCAGAGACCGTGAGTAGTTGGCGGAAGCGGGGAAAACAACAGGGTTGATGGGCTTGCCGAAGCGGAGGAGGAAGTGATCCGTAGTATTTGTGGCTCCATCGACAGTAATCTTGACAATGCCGTCCGGAACGTTCTGGAGGTTGGCAGACCACTTCCAGACCGATGCGATAGCGCCAGTCCACGACTCCTTCTCGATGGGATCCATGGCGCCGCACACAGGGGTATCGAAAGTGATGTTTGTCTGCGTGTTGGCGTCGACGTTGACAAAGGCAGAAACGGCCTTAGTCACATCGGCACAAGTCATTTCGGTCGAGAACTTGAAAGCGATGGGAATCTTTCCGTTGGCATCGGTAGAGTCGATGGGGGTGTCATGACCGGGCTCGAAACCAGTGATTGAGGGAGCAATATCCAACCATTTGGTGTCAGCGACGTAGGCGCGGAACTCGAAGGGCGCCATGGTGATGCTGCTGAGGCAGCCGGCCTTGTGACCTGCGCCCTTGAAGCCATTCTCCTTGGTCGAGCTTTCAAGGGTGATGGAAGCATCGGTACTGAACAAGTTCCTGACCTTGGTGTTGCCGTCGAAGGGCGAGAGGAAGGCATCCGCCTCGTTGGTACAGTCGAACTCGTAGGTGGTCTCGTTGGGACTGTTGTGGTACACCAACCAAACGGGATCTCCGGTCTGGTTCTGGTTGCTCATGTAGCCACGCGCGACACTCCAGATTCCGGTTTCGGTCGCAGTGGGACTGCCAGAGTACAGGACGCCGTGAGTCTTGTTGGAAAGCTGCTCAAGAAGCCAGCCGCCCTCAAGAACGGGGTACTCTTCGCGGAAAGAGAACAAACGCTTCATCCAGTTGCGCACTGAGGCTGAGGGATCGCGGTGATCATACGCGACAGTCTCATCCTCGCAGCCCTTCTTACCCTTGGTAATGGGCCAGCCGACGTAGACGGAGTTGTTGCCGGCGTAGCATCCGTGTGCCTTCCATGCCTGAGCGGCCGAGAAGGCCTGACGACCGAAAACGTAGTTGTTGGCGGTGTTGTCCAAAACATAGAAGTTCTGCTCCTCGCCATAGTAGACGAGTGGTGCACCGGGCAGAAGAAGGGTAGTGATGAAGTAAGCGAGAAGCATGCGCTCAGTTCCCTTCTCAATGGCGGGCCAGCGGAAGACATCCTGGTTGGTGACACCGTACAAGTGGCGGGGATCGAATTCTCCGGTGTTGGCGTTGTAGAAATCGTTGGTCAGAATCATTTGGTTCCAGGTCTGAACCCAGTCGGTCGGCAGATCGTAACCGGCCTCGAGGTGACCGCTCAAGCCGAGGAAACGGGTCATGAAACGGTAGATGGAGTAGTGGAACGCGCCGGCATCGAGGGCGCTCTTACCCTGCTCACGAATGAAGTTGCCAGAGGTGGAAGAGCTGTTGGAGTCCAAGGTGGTGGCGTCGGAAAGCTCGAGGGCGGAGGCCATGGAGGGAGTTCGGCCACGGCCGAGATAGATGGATCCCAGAGTGTTACCACTGGTAATCTCACCAACGACCATGAAGTTTTCCTTGCCAAGATCCTTTGCGCACTTTCGCATGGCAGTACTCCACTCAGCCTGCGCATCTACTGTGACCTGGACGGCCTTGTCGATACGGAATCCGTCGATGTCGAGTGTTTGAATTGTCATGCAGGAGAAGAGCTCGAGACGCTGGCGAACTGAGGGAACCCACTCACGCAGACGATCTTGCACGGAGGCGAACTTTGCCAATTGACGCTGCCAATCAGGGAAAACACCGAAAGCCTCAATGTCACCAAATTGATCAAAGTCACTGTCGTAGCAGCCTTTCAGTTGAGAAGAGACATCGACCTTGTTTCCGTCCTCGAACCAGAAAGTCGGGTATTCGCAGGTTTCGTTATATTCGTTGCCGATGTCAAAGTCGAGGTATCTTCTCGACGTCTTCCATTGAACCTGATGTTCCGAAGTTGAGAACGGAGTGGACGTGTTGAGATACCCTTCGAACCCAATCAAGTCACCCATGCTAGAGAAGGTGAGCAACAAGAACAAAGCCCCACGCGAGCCATCGGATACTTACGTTGCCATAGTCTGGTCCATAACCACGTACATTCCTCGCTTGTGAATTTCATCAATGGCTTCTTGCCATGCCGTGATGTTACCATAGTGCTTATCGAGGAGAGTGAGATCGAGAGGCTGCGAAATGTCAGTCTTCATCCAGATCATCGTTGTGTTTCTTCTGTACTCCTTACCGAGTATGAATCCGCCTTCCACGGGTCGTTGATGAAAGGTGAGCCAGCAATGTAGAGTGCCTTGATTCCCATGCCCTGAATGTAATCCAACGTGTCGACGAGGCCAGCCAAATCTCCTCCATGACGGAGCTGGTTACTCATGATATCATGTTCGAAGATGGTGCCATTGGCATTGTCGTTATCGGGGTCGCCATTTACGAATCGATCGATGAATAATGTGTAGTAGGGAAACCGCCAGTTGGGGGGTGATTTTGTGAATGTGTGGCCATCTCTCTTTCCTGAGTATTCGGCAGGACTCTTTGCTAATCTGTTGGTGTTGAGGTTGTAATCGACTTCGCTCGCGGTGTACTTGAGGCCGGAAACGAGGGTGGATGATGCGGTAAGGAGTGTAAGTGCCCAAGCCAATACTGAATTAGACATTTTGTGTGAACTCTTACTCGCCGGGAGGGGCGAGTGAGCAAAAGATTGTACAAGCAAAAAAACAAACAGGAATGAGTGACGAAGTGAAGCTCGAAGGAGTGTGGTGGTGATGGGATGGGGGGAGGAGAGAAAGGCCGCGAAGCAGACCAGCAAGCAAGCAAGAACGAATGACGGGATGAGTTGCAAGGCAAAGCGCGGGACGGATGGGAAGAAAACTCGGCCGTCAACGCCACGCTGGTACCGGTAGAAAAGGGGGTAATCTCGTGGGAGCTTGGGTCAGTCCAATTGCAATATGCCCCAGGCTGAAGGCGGAAAGGGGGATCACTGGCATAGGCGCAGGCATAGGCACGAGAAGCACAGGCACAGGAATTGAGGGAACAGGCACATGGTACAATAGCAGAGTGGCTGGGGGGGGCCACCGTAGAAGAGTCCATGGAAAGGATCTTTCCGTCCGCCTCGCCTCTCAAGGCTCCAGTCTGGCACTGGCAGTCTGCGAGTCTTGGTCTTGGGTCTTGGGTCTTGGGTCTTGGGTCTTGGGGCGAGAGTGGGATGGGGATGGGGATGGGGATGCAGGCGAGCAGGCCGCAGGGCCGCAGGGCATCGATTCCGTGATGGGCGGATGGGGCCCCTTCTGCAGGAACGGGCCAGCCGAATCGCTAGCCCTTCCTCTTGGAACCAGGACCTCTCTGTGCCTCTTTCTCCAGTTTCCACTGTCCAGAGGATGAATGGATGGGAGAGGCTCAGGCAGGTGTGTGAAGCCTGTAAGTGAAAGGTAAAGAAAGGTAGGTACCTGCTCCCTCTTGTTCGTCTGACCCCTCTTTCTTGGTACATGACAATGTGGCTCCGGGGTGTGGTGGTCTGGGCTAATTCTGGCTATACGAAGTTTGGAATATGGATATGCAGAGGGTGCAGGCAAGTGCCTGGGTGGGAGCGAACCATGAGTGCGATGGGAGATTGGCGGGCTCCGTCTTGAATTACCATTTTGGACCATATCCACAAAAGAGACTGTCCAATGCGGTGGCCCCGAGGTCAGCGGCGAGCAGGGGTGAGGATGTTATTCTGGCCAGTGTGCGCGTAGCGTGTTGAAGACCAAGGATAAGCCGGCACGGTCTGGTGTATCTTGTTGGTCGGTTCGGGCGAGCTCCGTCGTCGGTCCAAGTATCCGCTGTCAGTCGGGCCCCTGGCTCCAAGGACGTGCTCTCCTGTATCGAGTCAGTTTTACTTCGGGCGGTACCCCCAGGAAGAATACGAGACGTTGGAGACGAACCAGGCTGTCAGGACGGATGATCCATGCTGTCGAAGATTATCCAGAAAACAGTGATTTCCCAGTCGGGAACAGTTGGGGACTTGAGGCTCAAGGGGCCGGACCCGTTCAAAGGCGGTGGGCAACGGGAGGTGCGAGGTGCGGCATGCCTGGCAGGCTGAAGGTGGGCGTCGTTGGCAGATGGGAATCGGAGGGGTTCATCTCAACTAGCATAAACCGTTTATGCTCAGAGGGCGATGGTGTGGCACCCCGTCCGCACTGGCTACTGCTAGCTCAACCGGCTGTTGCTGCTTCCTGTCCAACAAGTCACCAAGTCTTTCAAGACTAAGGTGTTGTAGACGACTGTAGTGTATCCGTAGTGCGCTCCGTACTGTGTAGTAAGATGTCTTAGTGCGTCGTGGACTGGGCCAAGCCAGGAACAGGAACACGTCGGGCGCGTCTGTCTGATCGTGATCGTGACGTCGACTCGTGGGGAGGCTAACGCAGGAGGAAGCGACAAGTCTGCCATGGCGGCATGGAAGGATTTGAGAAGGAAGGACGGGAAAAGCAAGTCAAATTGGTCTTCTTCTGCCTAGACCTCGCGCATTAGTATCGCCAGCAGCGCTGAGAAATCGCGCTTCAAGGCGCAACCGCAGCTTACCTAAGGTCGCACAAAATGTGAATAAGAACCTTATGTATGTACTTTGGTGGATGCAACAGCGCCGAAGAAAAGGAACGACACTGGGCGAAGAGTGGTCCCAGCCCTGGGGAACTGCACATGGAGCCTGGAAGTATTTTCCCCGAGTGACACCGTGTAGCAGGATTGGAATGCGGGAAGAAGAGAATGTCGACTGTCTGATGTCTCCCGAATCCCACTGGACTGGGCCCGGAATGGGAGAAAGACTGAAGCCCGAAGCAGTCTGAAGTTTGAACAACGGTCATTACAATCGTCGCAGCAAAGACAACCCCTCAGCCACGGGAGATCCACTTGGCGACATCTTGGCCAATCCTTGGCTTCTTCTCGATTGACATCAGCCACACAGCACAAGCGTCACAAGGCAGAGTGCGGCTTTCCTCAAGCCCCTTCGCTCCTTCTGTCCCTGAGTCCAGTTCCGGAATCCTTTGTGAGTTTGAGAATTCCTTTGGTCGCCTGCCACCTGCCACGCCGGCAAAAGAGTACATGTCAAGCAGCTCCACTACTCTGTCACTAGCTCTTTCATTGTCCATTTATTTCTTCGTATACGTACCGCTCCGTACACAGTGTTGGGGAGGAAGCAGGGTACCTGGAGGACTTGGTCCACTTGGGCACGAGGAGGTAGCCTCGAATAGGACGGCTGGGACCGGGGTACTAGGGCCAGGGGTCGGTCGGAGGAGCACCTGCGCTTGCTGCCGACCGGGGCCGGGCCCCCTTGCACGAGTCCACGACTCCTACCGTGGTGCAGCACTCACCCGCGACGATCGGCCGTATCGCACAAGAGCGGTCGGTGCAATCAAGCGAGTCAGAAGAGAGAAGCCCTCTTGGTTCCTTTTGCTGGCGTGTCTGGGCATCTTCTGGGCGCGGAGTAATGGGGAACTTGCCACTTGGGAAGGCCTGATGCCACCTACTTGTATGGTTCGCTGCTGCGAGTCGCCAGAATCAGGACGGGATTGTCTGGAGCAAACTTAGGAAGGAGGGGGGATGACTGAGAGAAATAAGGACAGCACGGATACCTGAGGTAAGGTTGGTGTGAATGGGCTGCTGGATATGAGGAAGGAGAAGAGTCTGGAGGGGAAAGCGGGAAGGGGTCATGTTCTCCTAAACCAGAAGCCACGCCGAGCTGAGTGAGCCAAGGGCTCAAGACCACGCAAACTCCTTTTCCTGGTGGCGTTGGCTCTTTCTTTGCCTCGCTGCCCTGTCCTGCCCTTTGCCTGCACTGTGTCTCATCGTGACAAACACGACCGATTTTAATGTCGGTATCTGGGGAGTCCCATGCCCTTCAGCTGTTTTTCCCAAGTTCCGGTTTCCAGTACGGAGTAGTTGACGAGAAACTCCATTCAGGGCTCCCTCAGCCTTCAGGAGGTCCACGATCCATCAAGCAAGCCGAAGCCGTTTCAGGACCCGCGCATTGCACGGCGAGGGGCTGCCTCGAAAGACTTTATAGAGTTTAAGTGAGTTCCCCAGTCAATTCAGGATTCCCCTCTTTCTTCCCTTCCTCTCCCCTGGTGAAGAAAGATACCATGGTGTTGGGATGTTTGTGGGACAGGGCGGTGGGAGTTGCGCCCAATTCGGGACTGATTGCCTATGGCCGTCCAATTGTTGTTGATTATCTAAGCGGCCAGCGATGGGCAATGGCGTCCACACTTGGCACCTGCACCAACCACAAGTTAGCAGCACACAGACTCCTTTTTTTTCTCCAAATTGACCTCGGGCTTCTTATCATCTGTCAACAAAACTCAGACGCCCGTCCACCTGCAGGACACGCTATGCACTCCAGCTGCCAGAGTGCCAGACCAAGCAGTCAGGCAGGGAAGGGGAAGAGCTGGCAGAATTTGCTCTCGCACTCTCTCTCCATCTGCTTCGAATGCGAGTGACCAAACAGGCCCCAAAGCCACCAAATGCCGTCTCATCAAAGACTCTCAGTTCTCGACAAGAGTCTTACTAAGAGAACATGCGGCGCAGACAAGCAAAGACCAAGCAACGCGGGCCAATGACAAGATACCAAGCCTCCCGTTGTGCAGCGCCGCTGCCAAGAAGACACCAAGAACATCTATGTCAATCTACGCCTTCTCAGGTCCAGATGGCTGCTAAGTCCTGGATGGTAAACAACTGAACCACAAGTTCGCTCGTCAGCAGAGGGCCAATTTCGGTCATTTACAGCGCCGACGCGTCGCCACGTCTTTGCACCAAGGTCGCCAGCGCCAACCGTCAACCCGTCAACAAGACAAAGCGCGCTATCGACGTTGTTCATCAGTGCCCAGCGTGTGCCACTCGAGTCTTGGTGCCGTCCAATGCGACCGATATCACTGCCGACGTGACGTCCCATGTTGTGGCACCACCACTCCTCATTGGGATAAGCTCGCAATCCCATTCCAAAAAGTTCCCACGTCTTTCCAAGGACGTACCGTTGGCGGCGTTGGCGGCGCTGCCCTGGCGTTTCTTGGCAGGGGAAACGAGGTTTTCCAAGTAGCCAAAGCCAGATACGTACCTTTTTGGATGGGTTGCTATCCAAAATAACACAGGCTTGTCAGGTTCGACCTTGTACCAATCCCATCCCTCATCTCTCTCGTCCCTACGAAGTAGGTATTCCGACTCCGTACCTTACCTTCACAGTAAGGACACTCCAATTGCTCCTTCCCATTGGTCAAGCTGTCGCACATCCATCACAGCACCGTCCGTTTTGCTGCGCCGTTGGCGGCAGTTTTCCACCACCTTTTTACCCTTTTCACCACACCACTTTGACGGCTTGACCACACACCATCACGACCAACGACTCTCCTATTAATCATACTCATCCTTTTCCCGCCCATTGTCACACCTGGGCATGTAGGCGTCAATTAGTACCTTTTCAAAGCTATTGTTACGGAGTATATCCTGGCTGTCTTCACTCAGCACACAGCTTCTGCTCTCCCTTCTCATCATCCATCCATTTCGGTGCTTGTTGTGCTGAGTACGCAACTCTTCGCCAATCCTACCTTACCATCTGCCTCTTGGGCGGTCTTCCACCTCATAATGTCGCTTCTGCATTCTCCTGCTCCCTCTCCTCTCCCTCAGACACAAGACTCTCCTCAACTCACCTTACGCTCGGGTTTCTTCCCCGTCAGTGTCACTATCCCCTTCTAGCGCGGCACGCCTCCACACCCCCCGGCTTGGCCGCCGTATTAATCATCGTATCCCCATGGTCTCTCTCTCTTTTTTCCTCTGCTTGGGTTCAATTTCCCGTCAACCAGCTGTTGTTCATGGTTATTGACACACTTGCGCCCCCCGTGTGGGCCTCGTCGTCCCATTCGATCCGAGGCATTGACATTTGCGGCCAAGTACGGCAAAGTCGCCAGGAACCGTCATTTCCTCCAAGCCATCCCCATCTTCCAAGCCCATCGGTCCCTCGGCCTGTTCTTCCGTGACCCTCATGTCTTTGTCTGCTTCTCCGCGCTGTCTGTCTCTGGTACCTTGCATTGGTTCATCCGTAGTTCCGAACTCTCTGCCCAATGCTGTCAGAAGGTACGGAGTACGGAACAATATCGAGCACTATGTGCCAATGCAGATTCATATCCAACAGACCAACAATACTAAGAGTTTGCCTAGTATCCGTAGACCGTACCTAGTCACCACGCCTACCTAGTCCACCACACTCTCGTTTTTTCCCTCTGCTGATCGACCCTCGTGTTCACAGCGTGAGTCTCGTTTTGACGCGCTTGGCCCCTCTTCTTTCACTGTCAACCGATCAACCGACTCCACGTCCTCCTCTAGTCACTCGTCTAATCTACCCGGGCTTCCCACCCCTTTTTTTTTACTTGCAAGCTCCCAAGAGCCAGTCACTCGTTGCCACTCCATTGAAGGGTTCCCCGTCCATTCGTTCATCGGTCCTGTCCCTCTTACATTCCAAACCTCTATATCGTTGTGTGTGCGCCGCAAATCCTCTCCGGCCCTATCCATTCCTTTCATCACGCTCGCACCCAAGCGCAACACCAATCGTTAATTCAACGCCCATACGCGGCGCAGTCGTTCGTTCAAACAGACATCGTCAATCACAATCATCACCATGCGTACCTCAACACTTGCGTGGGCCGCCGTCACGGCCCTCTCTGCCCTCGTCGAGGCTGCCGACCTCGAGGCATGGAAGTCCAGATCCATCTACCAGGTCATGATTGATCGTTACGCCCATACCGATGGCTCGACCGATCACGAGTGCGAGCTCTACAAGTTCTGTGGTGGCACATGGGCCGGCTTGACCAACAAGCTCGACTACATCCAAGGTCAGTAAATGCTGGAGATGATACATCAAGGGCTCTCTCTTTCTTTCTCTCTCTCGCCCAGAGACCTCGGGCCTCACAACTGACCATGACCACCAGGCATGGGCTTCACTGCTATTCAGATCAGCCCTATCGTCAAGAACATGGATGACGACACCGCCGTCGGTGAGGCTTACCACGGCTACTGGTCCCTCGACAACTACGCCCTCAACGACAAGTTCGGTACCTCGGACGACTTCAACAACCTGGTCAAGGAGATGCACAACCGTGACATGTACCTCATGGTCGATGTCGTCGTCAACAACATGGTTCAGAAGCTCGACAGCCTCCCCCCCAAGCTCGACTACTCCAAGTTCAACCCCTTCAACGAGGAGTCCGACTTCCACCCTTACTGCAACGTCACTGAGTGGGACAACAGCACCAACTACCAAGACTGCTGGCTCTACCCCTACGGCGTTGCTCTCGCCGATTTGGCTACTGAGAAGACCGCCGTCGTTGATGAGTTTGGCAAGTGGATCAAGGAACTCGTCTCCAACTACTCCATTGATGGTCTTCGTATCGATGCCGCCAAGCACGTTAACGATGCCTTCCTGCCTACCTTTGTGAACGCCTCTGGCGTCTTCGCCTTCGGCGAGGTCCTGACCGGAGCTCCCGCCGATTTCTGCCGCTACCAGACCCTGAACCTGTTGCCCGGCATGCCCAACTACATCGAGTACTACCCCCTCAACAAGGTCTTCTTCGGTGGTGACATGAACGAGCTCGCCGACTGGCGCTCCCAGGCCCGTGATGGCTGCACCGATATCTTCGCCCTCGGATCTTTCGTCGAGAACCACGACATGCCCCGTTTCGCCGTCTACGACGAGGACATTGAGCTCGCCAAGAACGCCATGGCTTACATCCTTTTGACTGACGGTATTCCCACCGTTTACCAGGGACAGGAGCAGCACTTCAACGGTAACTCGACTCCCTTCAACCGTGAGCCCCTTTGGCAATCCAAGTACGACACCACGGCGCCCATCTACCAGCTCACCTCCACCCTCCTCAAGACCCGCAACGCCCTCCAGGCCACCAACAAGGACTTCGCCACCACGGCCTCTGAGCAGCTCTTCGTCGAGAACACTCACCTGTGCCTACGCAAGGGCCCCGAGGGCGCCCAGGTCGTCTTCTGCGTCACCAACAAGAGCTCCAAGGGCGACAGCTACCAGCTCAGCGTTGGCGGCTTCAACCCCGGTGATGCCGTCGTCGAGGTCACCACCTGCGGCACCAGCACCGCCGATGGCACCGGTAACGTCACTCTGTACATGGAGAAGGGCGAGCCCCGCGCTGTCGTCCTTGCATCTTCCATTGATGCCACCAAGATCTGCCCCAACGGCACTACCGCCGCTGGCCAGAGCAAGAGCGCGGCTGGCTTCATCGGCAGCAGCATGACCCTGGTCCTGGCTTCCGTCATGGCCGTTTCTTTTGCGCTCCTCGCATAAACAACCACTGCTTGGTTGTAGATGTGAGACATTGATCAAGGGCGAAAAAAGAAGAAGCCGAGCAAGAGAAGAAGAAAAAAGGGCGTGACTTGGGCGGGTGTACTGCGAGCCAGACACATGTTTTCTTCTTCCCAATGTCAAGATTTTTTTTCGCAAGGCGGAGTTTGGATAATTCAATGGCGGCTATCATGACGCAGACTACCATCATCTCTTATCACCATCTTGTGTGTAATTGTCCTCACCCCCCGGACCGCAGATTCCATCGAAGCTCTCACGTGGTCTGGTGAGTAATGCATATTTCCCTCATTTGTACTGTACTTGTTTTATTTTGCTTGCATTTATTCATAGTGATACCAGACCAATCTTTTTGAAAATAAATTAGTCATAATATCAACTTGAGCTTCTGTGAGAATGGATAGATAACTCATCCAACGACCAGACTGTAATGTCGCAAGTGTCACATTTGCATGCTCTATGAGATCATTGACAGACTTATTCCACCGGGTACGGGTA